TTAATTAGAGTAACTATAAGGAAGCTGATTGAAAAAAAAGGATGGTTGGGTCATAAACCAAAAGGATGATTGAAAAAGACATATGATAAACACAAATTGTATGATACATTATGTGCCAGATGATCTCTCCAACGTGCCACTTCGTGACCATAGGTTCCCCACCCTTGTCCTAGGCTGTCCAAGTTGGTGTCCCAGACATCTTTGATTGGTGATAAAACAGGGGAAAGGGCAGGCAGAGAAGTGTGGCAACGTGGAGGAGGCAGTCCTGTGACATCCTTGCTTTGTGTGATTGAGCATAATCATTTTATCTTTTGTCAGGAATAATACATATTAACTAAAAATAAAATAGTCATACACCTATGTAATAAAAATATAGTATCACAATTCTATGATGTACCATTATATGACATCACTGAAGAGAGGTTGAAAATACAAGCCAACCTGAAATGCATCTGAATTAAAAAAGTGTTTTAAATAAACCGTAAAGTTTTCTAACTAATTGCTGTTTGGTTGTCTACCAAAATTATTGTTTGGATTGCAAGGACACTACATACAGAATTTGAAGATACAGCAACCATACCTTCTACATTAAGATTATGTGAAGTTTCCAAGCAGAGAAGAATTTGCCAATCTTGCTATGGAATTTTCCTCATTGTGTTGGTGCAATAGATGGTAAACATATACAAATGGTTTGCCCTCCAAATATAGACTATATTATAATTATAAAGGCAACTTTAATAAAGTTTTCCTAGCTGTAAGCGATGCCAAATATAGATTTATATACATTGATATAGGAGGATTTGGTGGAAGAAGGGATGGTGGTATATTTTCCCATTCAAGTCTTGGCAGATTGCTGGAAACAGAAAAATTAGATTGGCCACAAGCATCACCAATAAGTGGAATGCCTGATAACCTACCATATGTTATGGTTGATGATGAGGCATTTCCATTAAAAACTTATTTACTTTAACCATACCTGACAGACAGTTAACAACAAAAATGAATATTTAACTACAGACACAGCTGAGCTATATGTGTAGTAGAAAATACATTTGGTATTCTTTCTGCACATTGGAGAAGCTTGAATGCAGATGCATTCAAGCTTCTCCAGAAACTGTGGATAGCATCATAAAATCTTGTCTCTCTCTGCATAATTTCTTGATAAAAGAAAGTAAAGTTAATGCAGAGATGAAATAATATTGTCCCCCATATTTTACTGACAAAGAGGCTGCTGATAATACTATTGTAAAAGTTCAGAGGAGAAACTTCCTCAAAGACCAAGTCAACAGCATAATTATTCACAATGTGCAAGAGACATTAGAGAACAATTTGCTACTTATTTTCTTGAAAATAATATTTTACAATGGCAATTAAATTATGTAAATCATATTGAATAACAAATGTATAATAAAATGTAAAAATCAGAAATAAAATAATTTTTAAATATTAGAATTTTTTATTTGCATAATTTTATTATATGTTATGTACATGATTATGTAAAGAACAAATTATCTATAACATTTCAATCTTAAAGCAAGCCTCTGCTCGCTTTTGTGGCGACAGGTTTCTTAAATCGCTCAGCTAAACTGACACAATAATGATAGAGTTCATCTTTTTGCTGTTTGTTTAGCATTGTCTCTGTTAGTTGAATTAAATTATGCACATCATCTTATTTTTTTCCGATGTTTTGGTAGAGTCGATGATACTTCTGTCAATGATGATGTGCATGGTACCAATACATTGAATATATATATATATATATATAGTAGATGAAAAAATTATACTACAAATAATAAAATTAAAACATGAACATAGACTTAAGAATATAGGTATAAACTAAAGGAAAAATATTTAATGTATGTAAGAGCATTTAACATTATTATTAAATAATTTGAGATAAGGAATGATTAATTTACTAACAACATATAAGCCATATATTAACTTTAGGATAGAACACAACAATATATTACATTGAAACACTTTGAAAATCTGGACTTCCTGGATAGGACAACTGATTATACATCTCTCCCAAATCTTCGCTGTGTGTGACATCATTTAATGGAGATTGCTACAAGTTCTAATAAAATAAAGAAAAAGTATTTAAGTGAAGTTTTATCTAGATTATTTTTCAACTTTAAAAAAATTTGTTTTTAACATGACTTTTTATTGTTTTGTATCATTCATTATTCATTATAATATTTAATAATATATTTCTGTTACATACTGTGAAAATTGTCCATCCTGTCCATCGAATGCATTCATTAGAAGGTTCATTAGGGAAAGCCATTTCCATTTGCAATTGTGCAGGTCAACAACACCAGCACCACTTCTGATTTTCTCATCTAACAGTTTTTTCTTTTCTGTAGGTATCTAGTAGGTTTTTCCGTTTTTTTCTTTATTTCTTCAACTTCAAAATAATAACAACTGACAAAAAATTCCATGTTAAAATATTTATAAATAATAATCAGTTAAAATTAACAGCATTGTTTTTCTTTATATTATTTTAGAAATACTTAATAAAATAACTTTTATAAGTGTATTCTTGGGGGAATGGAACTGATTAATTTAATTTACATTTAATTATTAAAAACCACACCTCAACATTTCACAATATTTGTTATTAGTAACTAGCACTTACTAAATATTTTTAGAATGTTTTGGTATTTAAATCTATCGTTATCAAAATATTGCCTAAACTCTATGGTTAATAATCAAGTTATTGATATTTTTCTCATATCATTAAATATGAATTGAGTTATCATTTAACTTAGCAAATTTTATATGTTTAAAACCCAAATCATTTATTTATATAAGAAATAATATACAAATGCATGTGCTTCAAATTTGATTTTTCATTTTACACCAAATAGTTTGTACTTGTAGGTAGGCCTATAATATGCAAACTTTACTCACCTTTCAAATTAAGATGCTCCACAGTTAACTTCCATTGGTTTTCCTTCAATTGAATATCTTTATATCTTGGATCCATTTTTACATATAAAAATGGAACAGCTTCTATTTCTTATAAAAATCTGTCAATATCTACTCTATTCTGTGAGGAAGTTTGTATAGCCATCTTGAAAACAACAAGAACCACGTGACAACTAGCGGGAATGCAATTGGCGGTGAAATTTTTTCGCTATTGAAAAAATTTGACAGTTCCGAACTTTAAAGCAATTCACGAAATGGTAAAATTTGCCAGAAACGACATCATGTCTGATAAAGAATCTTCAAATACCGGATTAATATAAAAATATAAAAATAACCATTTAACAAAACCAATAACCGGTATTATATAATTGTAAAATGAACTGCAAACGTTTTTGGTTCCTTCCCTAGGACCTTTTTCAAGCAGCGATTCGTCTTTAGAATAAATATGAAAAAAGACCAGTAAATTGCGACATTCGAAAAATTATTCTTCCGAACATCATTTAAAAATGTCAAAATTCAATGTTAATGTGAATCATGTGCATTCCCGAATTCCGTAAATAAATTCAATAAAAAATAAAAAAAAATAAAAAAGAAAAAGTCATGTCTGATGTGTTATTTGCTCTGTTTTCTGCTTTCGCCAGCAAATTGCACTCGGTGTGAACTAAACTTTAGAGTTATGGAAATATACATTCAGTGCCAAAGATTTAATTTCATCACTATAGTGATAGCTTTGTTTATTGTTTTTCTCAGTCAATTCTATTTGACATGAAGTAAATGACAAGTTTAATTTAGAAAGTCTGTGTATATCTTTTTAAGCATATTATTAACATTTATATTATTTTGTTTATTTTTTGAGTTTTTAATATAATACCTATGTTTATATTTATTTACGAGGGCTGTTCGGAAAGTTCGCAGCCTCAAATAGAACAACAAACAAAATAATGTTAAAACTTTTTTATTTTTCAATGTAGTCTCCTTTGTTAGCAATGCACTTATTCCAGCGATGTTCTAGCTTTTTTATGCCATCACAATAGGTCGATTTGTCAAGGTGTGCAAAATACTCGTTCACTTCAGAGATGACTTCGTCATTTGAGTGGAATCTCTTTCCAGCCAAGAATTTTTTTAGGTTTGGAAAAAGGTGGAAGTCACTGGGGGCCAAATCAGGTGAGTACGGTGGATGTGGAACTAATTGGAAGCGAAGTTCGTTTATCTTTTGTTCAGTGATTCTGGCGGAATGTGCAGGTGCATTATCGTGGTGGAACAGAACTTTTTTCTTCTTCAAGTGTGGCCTCTTTTCTTCGATTTCTTTCTTCAGTTTTTCCAAAAGTTCACAGTAATAGACAGCATTAATGGTCTTTCCTCTTTCTAGGTAGTCAATAAAGATGATGCCTTTAGCATCCCAAAAAACCGAGGCCATCACTTTACCCGCTGATGGAACTGTCTTTGCCTTCTTTGGTGGTGGCGAACTGTGGTGTTTCCATTGCTTCGACTGTTCTTTTGTTTCAGGAGTGTAGTAATGGATCCACGTTTCGTCAGTAGTCACAAACCGACGCAAGAAATCCCGTGGGTTTTTCTTGTAGAAGTCCAAACACTTCTTTGACATCAAAGTGCGAACACGTCTTTGCTCAGCGGTCAGCAGATGCGGCACCCAACTTGCTGAGACCTTCGTCATACCCAAATTTTCGGTTAGGATGTGGTGCACTCGGTCGACAGAGATGCCTGTTGTCTCAGCTATCTCACGCGTTTTCAAACGGCGATCTGCTAACACCAAATCGTAAACTTTGTCGATATTTTTTTCAGTGACAGCAGTTGACGGCCGTCCGCTGCGAGGGTCATGTTTCACACTCTCTCTGCCAGATTTAAAAAGGGCTGTCCATTTTTTCACAGTGGTGTACGAAGGAGCAGACTCTCCCAAAACTTCATCCATGTCAGCTTTGATTTGAGATGCGGTCAACCCTTTTTTCGTCAGGTATTTTATGACCGCACAAGTCTCTGTCTTCTCCATTTTTGACAAAACATGTGCACATTGACTATCTGCTAAGCTGTCGTGGCAAAACTTTACAACAAATCAAGCGGAAATTGGTATCGTATCTTTAGCAAGGATGGCTGCATTATTCCCGCCAAAAATTAAATTGATCGCAGCGCCGCATATAGGCAAGGCCGCGAACTTTTCGAACAGCCCTCGTAAAAGCTTATATGATGTTAAATGCTCAGTCCTTGGTGATGGATTAGATGAGATAAATCTCTTTTTCTTGGGTGATATTTCTATAAATAAAATAGAAAATATGAAGTTAAATAAATAATGCTGCTGAATTCGAATTGACTTAAATAAATTATTTAAATTCTTACCTGTTGAAATTATTCCTCAGAATACTGTTGACTGATTTTAGATATGCCATCTGACATATTGATATTATTCTGAATATTTTCAGATGAATTCAAAATCTATAATAAATAAAAATATACATACATACACATTACATATATATTAAATACAATATACATTTAAAAACATATTTTACATATTTTATTCTCTTAAACTAGCAAACATACAGTTTTGATTTCACCATTATCAAATTGTTGCAGATCTACCTTTTTACATCTTTCCAAGATGGATTTCTTTCTATAATAATATATGAAATGTGACATATTTTCAAAAAATGAAAATAATAACAAAATAAAGAATAGTTTGTATCAATGGCACACTCAAGATTTAATCTTGAAAAGCCAAGTCAAACAGATAAAATCTTTTTAATGCAAACTCAATAAAATTCCCATCTAATGCAACCACTAATTCGTAAGTAGTATAGAAATAGAAAACATGACATAATATAAATAAAAACTGAATTTTAATTAGAAAAAGATTTTTAGAAAATTTACTAGTGTTTCCTTTGGCCCTCTCTGGGTAAGATTGCAGATGTGAATGACACTGTTGGAACCTTGACAGAGTTGTAGAGCATGCTCATAGGAGCAAAAAGTCAAAGGAACCATGCATCTAAATGTGAAGCTTTGCGAGATATAGCCCTCCGAAATCAGCTTAAAGCCTACTTCCAGGAGCCGTAGGGAGTCACGCCGCGTACTCTGCTAAGCCCATCATGCATTTAACAGTCGGTACAGCACGGCGACGAGACATTCTAACGATATTTATCGGCAAAGAATAAAGAAAAGTCCAACACCCAACCATTTACAAGATACTCAACTCAAAACGCGGAACCAAACGGCCGCAGTTCCGGTTGCCATCTTGCTTGCGAACGTCAAGCTCGCAAGCAAGTTACGTTACAGGTACTGCGAGTGGTGCCCATAACAAATAATAAATGCATTAATTTCCGACCCAAAACAGTTTTTCCTCAAACCGGTACTCTAGCTATTCTTCACTCTCGTCGTTGCCGAGGCTCGCCTCGACCCACGCTCCACACTTAGTCACGCACTTTGGTTCTCGTCACCGCTTTCACCTGGGCGCCCGAGCGGGGGCAAGCCCCCGCACCTCCTAAATCTATACATCGAGTAGGCTACTCGAAGCCGGCACAGTTGCACGTGCTAAACAGTCTTAGCACGCAGCACGTGACTCGCAATCACCATCTCACAAAGAGTCACATTTAGAGGTACGGTTACTTTGACTTTTCTGTTCTAGGACATGCTCCGTAGCTCCGTTAAGATCTTAACAGCATCACTCGCATCTGCAATTGTAGCAGCCACTGGTTTGTATTTCAAAACTTACCAATAGCTGGAAGAGCATCCCAAACAAGTTTATTTTTCGTCTTATTCATAAAGTGGTCGTCTTCAAAGTGGGCTGCACATACCTGATAGTTTCTACGTAACATTTTCGGAGATTTGTCTAGCAGATCGACTCTTTTGACAAAATCCAACCATTGAGTTCGTCTGTAAACACAAGTCATATAATTTTTCCACGTAAATTACGTCTCAACATAATATTAGATTCGTATTCCTAACTAAGCAAAGCAAATACAGTACTTTTCTGCGTCTTTTGGAAACGTAAAAAATGATAAATGAAGCGTTTTCTTTTTATAATTTTTACAAAATACAGCGTATCAAGAGACATTTTCACCCGTCGCCATAGCGAACGCTCACTTGGCGCCCCCTCGTGGCGACAGGAAAGAGAGTTGGCAAATCTGCCGAACTGTCTGTGTCCTTAATGCCGAGCAACATTTAACCATAATAATCGTGGAGATTAGAAGTAAATAAAGCGATCGACCCTTTCCAATACGGATACAGTATGATGCTAATGTAAACGAGCGATTATTTATCGTGACACGGTCACAATGCCTGGCTGCAATTTTTAATCATATTTTTCATTTAAAATATATGCTCTCCACCTCAAATTAGTAGTGACTTGCCTCTGTACATCACACTTTTCCTTTAATAATAGAGTCGTGCCGGTCATATGTTAATTTGTTTTTAGGGGTAAAGTTTTGAATTGAAATGACGTGATTTCCGGTTTGTATCAGACGTTCGGATATAGTTGATGTCCCCTGCCCCCGAGGTTTCCGCATCTGGTCTAGGATTTCATCTATCTAACCCCATTCTCGAGATTAAGGAAGGACGGACGGACGGACGGACGGACAACATAGGTCTACAATTTTTTCAAATTGCTGTCCAATTACCGAGTCACGTGATCGTCATCTCCGCTTGTGCGCGTGTAAAAAATTTGTGCGCTTTTTCTCTGTCTTATCAATTTCCAGAGGACGCTTTCATCGTTCGACAATCGTTTAATAATCATAAAAAAAAATTAAATTCAAAAAAGTAAAATTTTTTGTTTGAAGATTTAACACCATTTTTTATTTTATATTTTAAAAAGTAAATATTAATATTAATTTTATTTTAATGCAAGTGAATTATTTATATTAATGTGCATTTAATTGTTTACGTTTTTTAGTTGAAATGAATTAATTACCAGTAATTTATATTAATAAAATAGTTATAATTAATATTTAGAGACATAAATAAATATAATTAAAATATTTAAAAACAATTAAATATCTAATATATAAATATTAAATAATAATAGTCTTTTTCGTCTCAAATCACATCAATTGCTGATTTAGCTTTTTGTCATTTCTGTGTACTTTTTTAAAGTTGATCGAATCCAAATGTATGCTTAAAAGGAATTAACTAATAATTAAAAATTTTAATTCAAATATTATTTTTGTTTTTATAATTTTTAAACACGACAAAAATGTCTATTAATAAAAAAATTTGAATATAATATAAACTTAAAAAAATATAATTTAAATAAATACGAAAAAAGTCATTTTAAGTACTTGTATATTATTAATAAAAAATATTTAATAACTATTTTTAATCGCAAATATTTTATTTATTGTTTTAAATAATTGTTTTTTGTATGTTCTCTTAAAATAAAACTTTTTATATTTTTTAAATATTGTAATAAATTATTATTATTATTATACTGAATGTAAGTGTATTTTTAAAAATATTTTACTTGTAAAAAACCTTAAGCATTTTTAATATTTGCTTTATGTAATTACGAAGCGCTTTAAGATAAGATAGCGCCTATCTTTATTATATGTATGTATATATATATAAAGAATTTATAAATTTTGTGATTAGATTATACAGTATATTAAATTTTCAACTAAAATAATAAAAGAAATAATAAAAAAATAATAAAAAAATCGATATAAAAATTTTAAGTTAAAAAAAAAAGAAAAAGATGAGACAAAAGTCACGCCAAACGATGACCAGTTTCACGTGACAAAAGCGACGCCGGTCGAAAGTGTGTATTTTTTTAAGTGATGGGTCATTCCGACATATAGTTCTGCGTGTTTTCTATATTTTAATACACAAATGAAGACAAAAAGGCTGAAGAAACGGAATATTTTTTCGAAACGTGGAATTATTTAACATTTTCCAGCACTAATTACACTTATAAATAAATTTATTTTATATTAAAATACTTATAAGCGGATTGATACAGAAATGATGTCATCGTCGTCTTAGTGTGTGAGGGAGTGGACGGTTGATAGATGTTGTAAATCTATCAAATTATATTTTAAAAATCGAAATATTATAGTTAATCGACGTGATTTTTTTTATATTCGTTACAACCCAATTTATTCTTATTTTCCATTATATAAGTAGTAAGTAACTTATTATATTTTATTTCTGGTTAATTTATATATAAATAAAGGTAAATAAAAGCGATGGTTTGGTCGAGGGAGAACTTTCTAAAGCCGGTTTTCAATCTAATAATGAAGTAAATGCTTAAAAATAGACGAGAGATATTTGTTTAACCATTAATTAAAACTAATTGATGATCGAATAAGCTTTGTTTTAATCGTTTATTTTTATGTTTAACAATTCTTGTGTGTTTCGTGTGTGTGTTTTTAAGTATGTGAGTAGTGTCTTGTGTCCACTTCTTGTGTGACGATTTGACTTTATTATTGTAAAAATAAACAATAAAACACAACATTTTATTGTTTATTTAACGGTATAAACCTTGAAAATTGATTTAATAAACAAATGAAACTATAAATGATAGAAATATTTAATAAAAAAAAGTTTATTTTTTTGATGCGTTTTTGTTTAAAAACTATTGGCATTGTTGAATGATTCAATTATTTGTTTAAAAAAATTAAAATAAAATTTCTAGTGATCAGTAATAAGTTGATCTGGGTGTGGTGACAATGAAGGAATTTTTCCCCCCTATTGGTCAGTGAAGAATATAACTCAAAGTATTATGAATTTAATGATAAAATATATGTAAAGAGGGACGTTTATAGATAAAGAATGCAGATAAATTGTGATCTCTGTTACTTATTTGTTTGCATAACTTTATATATATTATGAAGTTTTATGTAATAAAATATACTACTAATAGTTTTCAAGTATTCAAATTTAGATTGATTTTTTTTAAATTTTGTAATGGATTAATGTATATTTGGTTAAATTTTCAAAAATTTATATTATAAACAGCTTAAGATTCTTTTGTAAGTGTTCAATGGATGGCTTTTATCTGTAGACATCATGACTACTATGTGAGTGTAAGTACCTGTATGTGGAAGGTGAAAACATGATGTGTGGCTAATGTTATGTATGCAATAGTGTGTTTTCTTGAAAGGAATTCCTGAAAATTGTTGTTCAGTGAACTGTTATAATCACAACACAATGATAAGCATAAGGGATACTTTCACATATGTATCCTTGTAATCCATAAACTTGAAGTAAGGGAGAAATTTGGTTAAAAAAATGTCTTTTTAATACAGTTGAAAAAGTTGCTTTTAAAATAAGTGTTTGTATTGTGAATGTTTTATTACAGATAAATTTAATCACAATGATACTGATGAGTAATCTATAAGTACTATAATTAAAATATTAAATGACAATAGTTATACATATACTGTACTTCCATATTAAAATATTTCAATTTATTTGTATGAATTATTTTAAAATATTTATTTATTTTAACTAAGATGTTTAAAAGAGAAGATTTAGTCTGACTATACAATTACATTATTGTTTAGGGTTACCAGACATCCTTTATTTGAAAGGACAGTCCTTTATTTTAGCTAATCTGTCTTTAAACTGTCCTCGTCCTTTTTTGGTTTGATAAAGGATGCAATTTGTCCTTTATTTTCATTTTTCAGTTGTCGTGTTTTGTAAATGTGGTGGTGGATTTTTGTGTATACATATGCCATCATTATACATAGGTTCATAACCTTCCCGAATATAAAGTGGAGAAGGTTATGGATTGGCTTACCATTAAATATTTTAAATTCTAAAGTAAATAAAAATTTGAAAATGTTTATAGTCAATAGAAAAACTATAATTTTTAAATAAAAATCTAAAAAATATAAACCATGTTCAGTTATTAACTAAAAAAAATCATTCAATTCAATACATTTTTGGGTGGGATGAGGTGAAGCAAAAGTTGGAGTGGTAGCATTAATTATTTTTAAGTGTCCTTTAATCTAGATGTATAAATCTGGCAACTCTAATGTCTAGAACAAGTTTACTTCAAAAAGAAAAAGTTGAAAAATATCCTATTTTTCAGTCTTGCTTGTAGAAAAATTTCTGTCATGCTCTGGATCTGTAGCAGAGAAACTGTTTTCAGTTCATTGAAACAAGATGTTCCCAAAGTAGCTTAGATATAATTATCCTGTTAAGAAATTAATGCTTGAAGAATTGTTCTTTTAGAAATAATAATGTTTATTAGTAGAAAATGTTCTAATATAATTTAAAATATTAGTCTAGAATAAAATTGATTAAAAATAGATTTATTCTTTAGGTTATTTCTAGGATATCTTTAAATTTTTAACTACTAATATTATTATTAATGTAGACCCAGAGCTCTCAAATTAGGTTTTACAGAATCTAAAGCAGGGATGACAAGCCTATGACAGGCATTATGATTTTAAGGTATCCACATTCAATGTTTAGAAAGTACGAATAAAACATACCTTTAATAATTCAGCTAATAAAATTCTATATTATGGTAACTGAAGAAGATTGTTAAGAAACGATCGAAAATGTTTTTACTTTATTAATTTTTATTAGCTGGATTATTATAGGTGTGTTTTATCCGTAGTATATTTATCCAGTTTGTTATATAAATGTTTAGAAAGTGTTAGGTTTTATAAATTGTAAAAAAAATATTTAATAATTTCAAAACTTTGCATATCCAGTGGGTCCTAAAGCTGTCTTAAAGCTTTAGGACACCCATGAAAAGTCTCAAAGACTACTAATTATTAATCTCAGATAGAAAAATTACCAAATAAATAAATAAATATTCTATTTAATAAATATTTGTTTGTTATAATCACATTACTTTTTTTTTACTTATATACAGTAGTATATAAGTTATTTTTTTGATATGCATTTAAATGGTAAGTAAAGTAAAATTTATAAGCATTTTTTTTTTTTTAAATTACTCAAATTAAATATTTGACCAGTGACTTGGATTTAATAAATTTTGAATTCAATTTTGACCTAGCTGTGGAAAAAGATTTGCAGTCATTGACCTAGAGATTCCATGAAGGTACGTAAGGGGTTCAGTGAGACAAAAATGTGTGATTACAAAGAAAAATTATATAATGAGAAAAATTCTTTTAAGTCCCAGATTCTTTAAAAAA